TATTTATAACATTTTAAAATCATATTGATAAGACGAGTTTGTATCTTTACTTAACTCCAAGGAATCTCATCAAGATAGATGTATGAGGTAGGGCATGTGGATATTGAGAAACAATGACGTCATGCAACTAAATGGGGACTGCGCCGGGTGATCAAATAATGTCTTCATTTAATGATAATTTGGAAAGTATCAAATATAATTTGATTTTTCTAACTTTTGTTGTTTTATGTTCCTTAAAAATTTTGTAAGCATAAACTTCACAGTAATGATTTTAACGCATCTCATGTCTTGGTACTTTTCAAACAACCCTCGTACTTGTGAAAAATAAGTCAAATCACACAAAGTAAAAAAATAGAAGTAATTTAAGATTAGAATTTCAGTTTTCATGTGTGAAATGTTTACTTAAAGGCCGAGGCTTTCAACCGTACCGTTTTCCTCAGGTAAGTTTGGTGTGGGTGGAGCTTAATCGAAGCGGCTGATAAGCCCCAAGGGAACGACGTTGGCTTGTGTATACTACCTATATACACAGTATGTTACCTGAGTGTATTACCTGTATGCGTTTTCCTACGACATTGTAAAATGAAGTCGTTTTCCCCACGTGTAGCTCAATTGAAATACATGAAAGAAAGCATGTTTTTGTTGAGGACAGGGTCCTTCTCAAATTTTTTCTTTTAAAATTAATATTTTTAATACTTCGATAATTTAAATATACTGCGTGTTTGTTAATCAAATGCTATAATAACGAAAATACATGTATCACCAAAATCTGTCGTTGTAATCTGGCGACAAAAAGGGTCCAAGTAATTCAAATCACACGACGTGTACTCAAAACAAAAGAAGAAAGTGGGTCATAAATAAGTTTCTCGGTAAATAACAATTAAACGTTGAAACGATGTTTTGAGAATACATTATTCAGAAATATAATTATAGTCTAAATATATATATTTTCAAGATAAACCCTACGTGATATTTCCATAACGCATGGTCTATAAAAATGGCCAGGGGTTCGGATCGGGAATGATTCCCCAACAGCTAGGTCTATGGGTGAAACAGGAATGGAATCATCAGCATCATACTTTTTTCTTTCGGGGTTCATAATTCCAAATATTAATTAAATGAAAAGCAAGAGGTAATATAATTATAATCTGACTAATTTCTCTTCTAAAACTGGTTTAATATACCGTTACTTCGTCACCATGGCTCGAAGAGTTAGAGACTTCACTTGACTCCTGAACAATGTAAACAGTTTCAATGTTAATGTTGCCAGCCTTTTATTAAAAAAAATAATTTTATTTAATTCCATGATACTAGCTTTATACGCAGGTCGGTTTATTTTGTTTTTGTTTATTATTAAGGCATATTCTTATGAATTGAACAAAAACGCTTTGCCTGCTTCTTTATCACGTTTGCATATGCGGTAGGCATCAAAAGCCTGAATGTTAATTCGATGGTCGGTACAATCTCCAGACATGGTACAAAAGATATACACAAGGCAGAAAACTAAATATCGATCAAATCAAATTATCCAATCCCAGGTTTAATTTCAGATATTAAGACCAGGTAAATTTGAGGGAGGGGCTTATTTCCTCCCCCTTTAATATTTGTATTCATAGTTGTATTATTTACTCGTTAAGAAATATTTCTTTTTAAAAGCTTATGTCAAATTAAACTTTGAATAATTTGTATTTTCTTAAAAAAGATTAAATCCTAAACACAACTGATTTAGACTATTTTGATCTTTGCCAAAACGAAATGTTAAAATAAAAAGTCAAACATCTAAAAGAATCGACTGTGCAACAAAGACTGTTTCCACTTAAGCATTGTGACGTGGCCCCTTTTTCGGACCCCTCTTACTTTTTCTAATTAACTCAAATGTTAATTATTTTACACCTAACTCATACATTGTTATCTTTGTGGTATATTACTTGCAAAAATTCACACTGAAAACTGTGTCTTAGTTTTATAAATGGTAATTTAAAAAGCCATATACTTCGTGTTAATTCCGGAATGTTGCACTTGTCCGAGTTGGGTTTTAATTGTGTCACATTAATATTCAGTGTAGGCGGGGCATTTCATAGATCGATTGATAACATGTAATATTTAGCCACATATAATGGCTTTTGGAATTTGATACAAAACACAAAGTGTATACAGAAAAATAAACACAAAGAATTTTTCCAGGATTACGACTTTTTTTTTTACGAAAGATGGTACTGGGGGGCATTTTTGAGATGTATATGATCCCTATTAATCCAGATCCCCCATCTTGTGGTCGTTTCTCGGTGGAAATTTAACATTTAATTAAATAATCTGAGACTACTTGTATATGAAAACGGGGAAAATCATATTTAATAAGAAAAACTTCTATATTTTTTAAAAGGTTTGTGCCGTATTGCAATTTTTAACACCTCTCTCTCTCACTCTCTCTCCATTCGTACGTTTTAAAGTACAGTAAATACCCTGTACTTCTCAAAAATAATGGTGTACGGAATATTCTTTTGTGATGCTGCATGTGGTGATATTTTGTCACTAAAACAATATTTTAAATTTTATGTGCGATATTGTTTTTTTTTGTCCCCAGCTTGAAAAGTGGGGGATATTAGTTTGGGTCTGTCCGTCCGTCTTTCTGTCTGTCTGTAACGCTTTCGTTTCCACACGATATCTTAAGAACCCTTTGAGCTTTTGCAATGAAATTTAGCATAGCAACTCCTAGTGATCCCTATTGATTTTGAGGTCAAAAGGTCAAAGGTCAAGGTCATATTTAAGCAAATTCTGTCTGTTATAACATTTTTGTTTCCACACGATATCTCTAGAACCATTTGAGCTATTGCAATGAAATTTAATATAACAATTCCCTGTGGCCTAAGGAAGACCCCTATTGATTTTGAGGTCAAAAGGTTAAAGTTCAAGGTCGTAAATTTATACAATCTGTCTGTGTGTAACACTTTCATTCTCGGGCGATATTTCAAGAGGATTTTGAGCTTATGTAATGTAATTTTATACCAAAACTTCCTAGGAACTCTCTCCCCCTCTCAAATTGCCCTGCCCCGTTCGTTTTCAAGTATTTATCGTATTACCTGTCGCTATTTTTAGCACAGGGGCATGCAGAGAGTTATTACGTATAAAACAGGTTCTCGGCGGACTTTATGTTCTTATTACATCATTTAGAACTGTTTAATAAAGGCTAAATAAATCAAACACCATGAATTGTGTAAAATTTTGATAATACCGAACATGAATATATACATGTATGTGACTTCACTTCGGCATATACTTGACTTCATTTAAAGCAATCCCGTTGTCTAGTGGTATGTCTCCCGCTTCACATGTGAGAGGTCCAGGGATCGAAGCTCGTACGGATCATTTTTTTTAAAACTTTTCTCTTTTTTAATGATAGTATTCAGCATGTGAAAAGAATTATTTATGAGGTTATAAAATCATCATTAAAGTGTGATAAATATTCAATATAAAAAGATTCTTCTATTTATACACATAATAAAGAATAAGCAATCAAATCTTTATACGCATATTGATATACATGTATTCTATTTGCTTCAGTATACATGTATACATTTAATAATTCTACAAATTCAGTCAGGGGGATCCGACTTTTTCCCTAAGCGGGGGACACGAATTCTCTGAATTAGCTGGTTTTTTTTTTTTTTTGGGGGGGGGGGGGGTTGGTACCAGTAAGAATTCCATGCCAGTGTTAAACAATCTACATATTCTACCCCGTGTCCTTATATCTTTACAATCAAAAACACTTTGAGGAATGATGCTACTTCGAAGATGGGAGCTAAATCTTTGAAACTCATTGAGCCTCTTAACGTGCCCCTTAAATCCAAGGACGAAAAATAAAATATTGTTACATTTTTTTCCAATTTAATATTCCAGCACCATATTAAAACATTTGACAAAAAAAGAAATAATTCTATGTTGATTGATTGAAAATGTACATATAACGGTCTAAGTTGGACGCCTTTCGACGGAATCTACAACCACATGGTTTATCGATTTTTTTGTATTCACAAAGTTACCTGATTCTACAAATCACGTGGTAAATTGGAACATTAAACAGGTCACGATGAGGTCAATGACATGTAAATACTCGTAAACAGTGAAGAAAACTTTCGACGTTTTGTACCTTTTTTCAAAAAGTTTACCCCGAGCGCAGGCTTGCCCAAATTCTCCCTTAAATATGTTGAATTTCCAAAAGTTCTACACCTTCTGTCCCTTTGATAAATTTGGGCAAGTATGCGCTCACTATGTATTTTAGCTCTAAAAATCGGAATAACTTTGAATAACAATGGAGATTCGTGATTTGTATTGACTCCTCTTACAAAACACAGTATCGTTCTTAAATATTACTCACTTTCAATTTCTGTAATTTTGCAAAGTCGCGATCTAGACCTTGAAGAATTGTTTTATTAATTTCATTAAGCTACTTTCTATACCTTATTTTTGCGCAATTTACCAGGGGCCACGTTTAGTACACTAAGTGCAATCATTCTTTATTATGTTCATGAATTGTATATCCGTTGATAGTTTTATTCATAATATGTACAGTGGATCAAGAAAACTTGAAGATACGTTATGTTTGAAATGCATTTTACTATGCAAATTTTTCTCCTTAATTATAACAAAACATAAATCTGTGCCTATTATAAGTCGAGGGTATATTAAAGAATTTTACATTTTACACACATATTACAGGCGCTTGTGCCATCCATTTTTCAGGAACACTGTAAAGTCTTTGTTTTCGTGGAATTCTTAATATTTGTTGTTTTCAAGATAGGAAGAAATTCAGCAAAATAATTATCTCATTGAAACATTCATTTCAAATATAAAAAAAAAATCAACGCGAATGATCAGACATGAAATAATATCTCCATGATCTAAAATGTTTTCATCACTCACAAAAATAATATTGTCTCCATGAAAATGTGATTTTACAATAATTCTGTTGTCGTCTATTGTGAACATGACTGTATGTTTGTAAAACCTTCAAGAAAAAATATTGACGTATTTTGGTGATTTGGTGGGAAAATACATTGTATAACTGGGTTGATTCTTTACAGACAAAAAAGTTCCATAATTTTAAAATAAAATCAAGTAACAGCTGCAGAAAGGTTCTTTTTCACAAATTTCTACCAGACGCCTTTCACGTTTCTCCTTTTCTTCCTTTCCGCTACCCCAAAGTTATTCTCTCTTGAAATGGCCTTCAATTTCTCCAGTAGGTTGAAGCCTTCTCTTTCAAGGTTCACCTTCCCTTGGCGCAGTTCTCTTTTCCTCCTTTTGCCCCACGGTCCTTGTGCCTCCGTGTCATTGATAAGACAGACTAAAAGCAAGACGGTCAAAAGAAGTCCAAGTCCACGCTTATCCTAAAAAATAATTCATTTAATCGGTGCCTCATTTTTTTTTTTCGGAAGTTAAGAAAGAATACAAAACTAAATCTATTCACTTAAAAATATAATTTTTAACAATCAAGGATATTAAATGTGGTGTAGATTTATAGGAAGGGGTTGGTTTTAGGCTTTACTAAAAAAAACTATTAATGTTCGTTCCGGTTAACGAATTATATTTGTGTTATTTGAGTTGACAAAGTAAAACTTTTTACACAAAAATACTAAATTTAGATCATTTAGGTTCTATTGGTGTGACGCTTTTGTCAGATTATATTTCTGTAAAGCTTGGTGGGAAAAACTTAGGTGGAAATGCTAATCATGAAAAGTCAAAAAATTTCAGTGCGCCGACCACCGATATATTACACCCTTTCAATTCTGTTATGTAATGAAATATGAAATTACAACCTCTCACGATTTTGTCGAAATTAAATTAAAATAAAATAAAATAATAAGCATAATAATTCTGGTCGGGTATTTTGTTATTCAAAATGTTTGCGTTTTTCTGGGACAACTCTCGTAATTATTGCTTTCATACAGTCTTTAAAATATAGGAGAAAACTTAAATTATCTTTTGTTTTGTACCTCTTAATAAGCTTTGATTTTAATTAGAAATTGGTTTTCAATATATAATAAATTATTTTTAAAAGGTTTAGTAATTGAATTTTAAAGACGTTTTGTGAACATAAGTTTAACTTAGTTCAGACTGAGCTCATAAGTTCCGACCAATAGCAGCCTTGGTTTGATATCATCAATCTTGCTAGCTTAGGTAGGGTCATAAGTACTTTGTACTACCTACGTATTTTGTAATCCGTAAGATTTATAATTCAGCCTAAATGATTATTTTGCCATTTACACAAATATTAGAAAATTTCCACTATAGAGTTCAAATAATGAAAAATATTTACATTATGCATTTAACAACGATAAACTAAATAATTTCAAAAAAGTAAATAAATAAACCGCCCAAACATATTTTATTTCATTAGACAAGTGATAATCAGAATTTTATATTGATGTGTAAAATTAAAACCGAATCCGTAAAAGTATGGGCCTTCCTTAATTGATGCCCTGAAATTAAATTATGTTATATTCGATTCTATTTTTTTTTTACAGAAATGTGAATAATTTAGACAAAAATACAGTAAAATCGCTAACGAATATTGTTTTTGAAATGAGATTTATCGGGAAATATTTTTTTCAAATAGGTCTTTCAAAATTGGAAAAACATCCCTCATAAAGGAAAATAAAACTTACAAATGCAACGCAACTTACCATTTTCCCTGTGTTATTTTACTGTCCTTTCAGTGTCTCTTTTTTCAAATGCAGGATTTTAAAATGCTTATTGGGTGCAGTATTTTTGCTCTTATATGCCTGATCAAAAATTCCTATGCACCAATAAAAACGAATCGATTTAAATATCACTGTAAAGATAGTTATAATAAAAGGCGTTTATATTCCTTAATGTGCTATCGAACATTTACTTCGAGTACTTACGTAATTTAATATATTTCATGATGTGCTTAAGCATAAAAGTATTTTTGTTTATTTCTTATCCCCCAAATTAAAGGGGATTTTAGTTTTTTTTTATGTATATTATATAGTTGCGTATGTATTAAGCGCAAACTAATGTTTTGGCAGTTATCTTTTATGCTTGTCAGTTGTTGATCCCAAGAGCCAACATTTACATTGTTTTGTATTAAATATAAACTGATCTACAAATTATGTTTAATTTGGTATAAACAACGCAAATTCTTAGATTCTCGCTAAATTCCTTACAAGTATTTTGCAGTTTTGAATACAATGGGGTTAATTTCCGCGGACAATTTGTGACCGCGTAAATTAATACCACGCGGAAAAAAGTACTACAGTATTCAAATGATTAAGGTTTGTTTTAAATATATATTAAAATGATGCCCTTTCCTACAAAATTTATTTAAGTTAAATAAAGTTTTTATAGCAATTTGAATTATTCAGACACAAATACATAAAAAACGCTAACTAATAATGATTTGGAAATGAAATTTTAGGGGGAATTTTTACCTTCAATGAATGGGTCTTTCAAAATTGGAAAAAATATCCCTCATGAAGTAAAATAAAACTTACAAATGCAAAGCAACTAACCATTTTCCCTGTGTTATTTTACTGTCCTTTCGGTGTTTCTTTTTCAAATGCAGTATTTTTTTAACAATATGAGCTGCAACTTTGACGTCATATTTTATTTTGCAAAATTGTAAATTTAAAACTGTAAATTGGATTGCAAATAGCAAGCTTTTTTCTGCTTTATTTTAATCGCATTGATCATAGAGCTTTCAGGTACATGCAACGTTATCATAATAATACATGTTAACAGAAAATTTTAAAAAATAGGATGTATAAGCCATATTGGATCTATTTTGGTCTAAAAAATAAAGAAGTACAAAGAATGCGCTTAATACTCTACCACACAAGCTCAAAGCTACCCAAAGTGATGATGCACCTATTACAGTGGCTGCAACGTTATTGTTGACAAACCAATCGTGTAGAATTGTTCAGGTATCTTGCGTGATCGTTCGTGTAACGTTCGAGATTGTGCGTGTATTAGACTTAATCATTTGCCGTTTTAATCGTGCGTGATCGTGCGATTAAATTTCGTTTTGTAAGTTTTTACCGAAACGTTACTTGTTAAACAAGGATATCGTTTGTACTTTATTTTTAATTCCGTATAAAATTATTTAAGCGCAATTGACATTATGATAATTGAATGCAGAACGAACTAATTATCGCTTGTAAACAAACAATATAGTATGTCGTACAATATTATGTTCTCATCAAATAACGTGACTTATTGTGATAAATCGTACGTAGATGCTTAACTTTTTTCTGATGTTCATTCCTGTTTACTGCTAATTGTGTTCAAGAGAAGGATATGGAAATAACGAGCAGTATTCAATCTCAACGTCCATTAAACAATATACAAAATAAGAGCAGAGCAAACACGGACCTCCGAAACATCAGAGGTGGGATCAGGTGCCATGGAGGAGTGAGCATCCCCTACCGACCAGTCACACCCGCCGTGTGCTCGTTGTCATAATAAGGAAATAACGGAAAAAATCCGTCGTCAATTCAGTGTATAAATAATCGACTAACAATTGGTATGAAAAACGTCAGTCAGCATTTCATTCAATGATAAATTGTATTTGCTGACAAGGTCATTGTATCGACCATAGAATTTACGAAATGATGATTTTAAACGAGACTGTTGATATTCTTGATTCATCAACTTGCTTGTCAATAATTTACCTCGTTGAAGACATTGTTCATACGTAGAGCATGCTCTTGCGTATCGAATCAACTGAGATATGTATACTTCGTATGCAGGTGATGAAGGTATATTGCTGCATAAGTAAGGGAAGTTGACGATAGAAGAGTTAAAGTCATCACGTTTATCATATAGCTTGGTTGTTAGATTACCATTAGTGTCTTTTTCAAGTGAAATATCCAAGTATGAAGCAGAAGTGTCGGACTCTGTGGTATCTTTTATCTCAAGCTCACCAGGATACAGTATATCGTGTCGACGTAGGAATGGAAATTATCATTATTAATTGACAATACGTCGTCGATATATCTAAATGTCGAGTTGAAGGTCAAAATATTTTTAATTTTATTAAATAATTACACACAATATTAAATTTACAAATAAATAAACATTTTTTTCAAAGCTTACATATATATGTGTTAAGCCAGCGAATTTACATGCACACGACATGATTTTCGGGGTTTTGTTTATTCGTGTTTATCTCTGGAGCTTACTTTTAATTAATTTTTAAATAATTGCTAAATAATTGGCAAGTTCATTTTCAAAGATTCATAAACATATTGATTCAATGGAAACATATGGATATTACTTGTAATTTAAGTCATTCCATACTGCATTTTTTACCATTCGTACCCCCTTTTCTGCATATTATGAAATCCAATTCAATCAAATTCTACGGTCCACTTAATACTACTACTACTAACAAAATTAATAAACAATTATTTTTCTATTGTTTGAATATTGGGAAAATTAATCATGTTAGAACTGCACAGTTTCAGCATTCAGGAGATGAAAAATGCAATGAAAATGATGTCAGTTCGGTTCATTAATAATGTGGCTACAACCATTTGATTCGCTTTTTCTTGTCATTATCCATAATTCTTGAAATTGAAATGAAATTGATATGAAATTTTATGCCAGTATTTCATATGGTAATCTTCTTCAAGTCATGTGTTCATGATATTCGCCATTCCCCTGTCACATAGAGAGCAAATAACATTGTTTTTTTGATTAAATGCGACCGTAACAAAATCAAGATTAGACCTTTTTAAGCATTGATTCTTATGCTATAAAACTTGCTACTTTTATGTGTTGCCACGCATCATCTGATTGTTGATAAAAGGCGATTTTTAGCTCAACTCAAGTTGGGGGAGCTTATGTTATACCCTCGGCGTCGGTGTCGGCGTCGGCGTCCCAGGTTAAGTTTAAGTTTTTTTGAGCAGTTTTCTTTTTAAGTACTTCTATGTCCTATATTGATTAGACATGCATCGAAGATGGTTCTAGTGTGTTTCATTGTACCAGACAAAGTTTCAGATGCTGCAATGTGAGCAAAGGAATGACCAGGTTAATGTTTTTGGTGTAGGTTAACATTTTTGGTGCAGATTTTGGTGCTGGTTTCATTTCCAAGTAACTATTATAAGCCCTATGTTGACCAAACTTGCATGGATGATACATCTAAGGATGGATACTACCGGGCTTGCTTCGAATGCTGAATCTGACCTACATTTTCCAGTTGAGTGAACAGGTTCAAGTTTTTGGTGCAAGTTTAATTTCCAAGTAACTATAAGCCCTGTTTTGACCAAACTTGCATGGATGATACACCTAAGGATGCATACTACCAGGCGTGCTTCGGATGCTGAATCTGACATACATTTATCGGTTGAGCGAACAGGTGCATACTACCGGGCTTGCAATAAAGCGTCACAACTTTAACCTCTACTTTGATGGAATTCAAACATGCCCACTTCTATCAAAAGTCTAGTTAAAAAATCATAGCTAGTCAAGAGAGATTACCGGGAAACACCGAGTGGTAAGTAAAGGGAGGGCGTAGGCAGATCCAGTCAGTATGGGTTTTCTCGCATTATACAGGTTCATCATTTTTACACTGACTCTACTCCTTCTACTACATTTTATCATCAACATCTCCGAACAGCATATCAAATCAAGTAATCCCCAAATCATAAACGCAAAAATGAAAAAAAAAACAAGGGGTATGTTGTGATGCATGTGATATAGGGCACCATAAATCGTGCAGAGAGTTATGTACCCGTGATTTCGAGCTACTCGAGCGCTCAAACGCACAGTGGTTATTTTGCAAATGCGAAAGCATTAACGTCAATATTCTCACATTTCGAAGTTATGAAATAGAATAATCAAATATATACGAAGGACTCACAGGACTAGACGTAACCATCGAATCTGTAAGATCATTCTTCAGCCCACTACGAGCAAGCAGTCCAATGAATAAAAAACATGATTGTCATAGAAAATACAATCGTAAAAGCAACAATTCAACAAAATATAGAACTGACAGCAATCCATCTAAGAAAAATCTTTAAATTATGACCATAAACTGCAAAATTATAAAAGATAGCTAAAAGAGAAAAATTCGAAACAACCATTCATAACGTAAGGACAGACGAGACGTTCCTTAATAATAAATTAATTTTTCTAGGAGTTTGTCATTGAAGTATTGCTACTTAAACATGTTTACTAACAAAATATTGAGGTACCTTTCCAGGCATTTCTGCAAGATACCAGGGGTAGGTTTTCTTATATAATCCTTTGGGGAAGAAAAATAATTTTCCGATTTCAAATGTTTAAGTGTTTCGATTTATTAAAAACGTTTAGAAACTGGCTTAGAAATTAGAATATTAGTAAAATTTTGAATATTTTTCATACATTACGAAGATATACAAAACAGATTTTGAGGAACGTCTCGTCTGACCTTAAACCAGCTATGGTATGTGGGACAGAGTCCTGACTTAAAGGGGTAAAACTAAAACAAAATTCATCAAAGGACTCATTTAAATCAAGCGAAATATTCCCAGCAAATTACAATGTAATTGAAGGTCTCTAAAATCTTCTGATGTGTGTTCCATGTCATTATCCTGAAAAATGTAAAACTCGGTAGTCAATTCAGTTTGGAAATAATTGCTTAAAAATGAAAAAAAAAAGCATTTCACTTAATGATGGATTATACTTGCTGACTAGGTCATTGTATCGAGAATATGCGAAATGATGACTTCAAACCAAAATAT